TAGCTATGATAAGGCCCAAGAGACAAGATGTCAATGATACCGATCAAGGTAGTCTATGTAGGGCCAGGAGATAAGTACTGACCCTCCGGAAACACAAATGAGTACACACACACACACACATTCCTCTCACTGGAATTGGGTCAACTACTAAAATAGTCATTTTAATGTAAATATTCAACTAGGGGGGGACAAACAGTGATGAACTACAGACTACTATCCTTGGTATGCATACTGTCTAACAAAATAGAGAAGCTACCGTATTTTATGGCATATAAGGCGCGCTTAGTTTTTATCCAAAAGTCTGAGAAAATCATTCTCTGTTTATAAGGTCAGGAACAAGGGAGAAAGAAGACTAAGACGATTAAAGGTTGAAAGTTGTAAATAAGAAAAAATATGGTTAGTATGCTGCCGAACTTATCACAGAGGACGCATTTCAGTTCAGCAGCTTAGGCGGTGAAGTGTGAGCTCCTTACAAACCTAAGAACCTAACGAGAGAAACAAGTCTTATGGAGTACTCTCTCGACCGTTACAAACTCCGCTGGACAAATACTAGAAGGTATTTGGTACAGCATCCTGCCAGAGACTTATCCACAAACCAGAATAACTGGCAGGAATTCCTCAAGGTTCAATTCTAAGATCACTAAACTTCTAAAACAGTAGAGTTAAATAATCTATAAAAAGGAATCAAGTCAAATGAGTGTGAATTTGCTGATGTAAAACTAATGAAAAGAATAAAGTACAGGGAAACCTGGACCGGCTGTAGATACAATCCAACAAGTGGTTGCTGGAGTTTAAACCGAGTAACTGTAAGGTCACTCGGACCGGAAAATTAATGGGCAGATCGGAGACAGTACAACCTAGGAGAGCAACTACAAACATTACTTAGGGGAATACGCACACGCATACTCCATATCAGCGTTCAACTCTTGATTGCACAAAAGGCAATGTATGACAAGACACAAAATCACACAAATGGGAGACAATGCACATGAATTCTAAAGAATATAAAAAGTTATCACTTCAGCACAGTAAAAAGGAGTCAGTACAAGTGTGGAGTTGCAAAAGGCTTAATGTTCATCCTCTTTGAGAGAGGAGAGGAGAGGAGAGGAGAGGGAGGGAAGAGGCAGAAAGGGCAGTAAATGTTGTAACTTGTGTTTGCTACTCATAACATGACACACCACAGGGCAGATGTCATCCCCATAACTCTTAAAAGTACGCCGGCCATGCTAGCTTTAGAGGATGTAAGGGGAAGCAGAGAGGGGAAGGAAGAAGGGAGAAGTAGGGAGAGAAGCCGGGGGCCAGGAAGGAGGAAGTAGGGGAAAAGATGAAGGTGAGAGAACGAGAGAGGGTGATAAAAGGAGGGAAAGAAACATGGAAAAGGGAGAAGAAAATGAAAAATGAGGGGAGAGGGAGAGAGAGAGAGAGAGAGAGAGAGAGAGAGAGAGAGAGAGAGAGAGAGAGAGAGAGAGAGAGAGAGAGAGAGAGAGAGAGAGAGAGAGAGAGAGAGAGACCTACAGACAGACACACAGACTGACTGATTTGATGCATTACTGAAAAAGGATTAAGGAAATGAAGGGAGGCCAAATAGGTTTTCCAAGATGGAGTGAGGGAGAAGAGTATGAGGGAGAACATGGGAGACAGGTAATGAACCAGGGAGGAAAGCACAAAGGCCACCACACCACCACAGAGATCAATTCACACCAGCCGCCACTCTTGCCACAAAGAGCAAGTGCAATGAGGAAGTGAACCAAGATGATCGTAAGAGGAGAGAAGTTGCAAGTGTGAGAGGTGAGTGCATAAGTCTGAAAACAGACAACTCTCGAAAGCCTTCAAAGGTATATTAGAGGTACAGGATTACCCCGCTTATACAGCAGGCTAGGTTCTGGGCTACCGCTGTAAAGTAAATCGTAGCCCTTAACTTTCAAATACATATAAAAGTCTGATAACATATTTACACTATCCTGTATTAAGTGAGCAGTATAGCTAGGCCTATAAAATGCATGTACAGTACACACATTACTTACCTTAAAATATTTTCGTCCTTACCTTATAGTGAGTGGTGAATATATTTATTATAGGATGTCTGAATAAATGAAGAATGTGTACAACTGAAAACCGCTGTATTAGCGAGACACTATAAAGCTAAGCCGTGTAAAACACGGCCCGCCTGTATAGTGATGAAAGTTATCTGCTGAGAAGCTAAACTTCACTCTATGATGCTGCTATATATGATGCTGCTATAATTCCTATATGGATAGAAGAGTTAAATGTAAGAAAGTAGAAGACTTGCCCACCTCTTATCTCCCTGCCCTGTGCCCCTTCCCTCAGGGTCATGCAACCAGAAAGAAACAATGACTTAGGAACTATTACCATTCAGTTTATAAACGTGTATATAAAGCAAACACACAAACGCACATGTGGGCAATAAAACCGCATGTTTACTGTATATTTTGGTCTCCAATCAGGCCTTCTTCAGGAGACTTTAAAACAAACGAAGTGGATGAGGGCCTTTTAAGTCGAAATATATATTATTAAGTTCGTCTGTTTTAGTGTCTATACCTGTTTTAGTTTTTACTCCGTCTATAAGAGTTTAATAAAAAAAATATTTTACTATCGCTACTACTTTTACTACTAATACCGGGACAGAACCGCGATTCCCTACCATTGCGACTGCTACTACTACCCTACTACTACTATTAATACTTTACCACTATAGTACTGTCACCACAATATACAAGTACTCATATTTTCTCCTTTCATACGATGCCCGCAAAAGAGAACATTTAAATACGCTCTATATCACTGATTTTGATAACTCCTTTATTTAAACACCAGCCACCATAACTCCTCCATTACTCAAACACCAGCCACCATAACTCCTCCATTACTCAAACACCAGCCACCATAACTCCTCCATTACTCAAACACCAGCCACCATAACTCCTCCATTACTCAAACACCAGCCACCATAACTCCTCCATTACTCAAACACCAGCCACCATAACTCCTCCATTACTCAAACACCAGCCACCATAACTCCTCCATTACTCAAACACCAGCCACCATAACTCCTCCATTACTCAAACACCAGCCACCATAACTCCTTCATTACTCAAACACCAGCCACCATAACTCCTTCATTACTCAAACACCAGCCACCATAACTCCTTCATTACTCAAACAGCCGCCACCATAACTCCTTCATTACTCAAACACCAGCCACCATAACTCCTTCATTACTCAAACACCAGCCACCATAACTCCTCCATTACTCAAACACCAGCCACCATAACTCCTTCATTACTCAAACAGCCGCCACCATAACTCCTCCATTACTCAAACACCAGCCACCATAACTCCTTCATTACTCAAACAGCCGCCACCATAACTCCTCCATTACTCAAACACCAGCCACCATAACTCCTTCATTACTCAAACAGCCGCCACCATAACTCCTCCATTACTCAAACACCAGCCACCATAACTCCTCCATTACTCAAACACCAGCCACCATAACTCCTTCATTACTCAAACAGCCGCCACCATAACTCCTCCATTACTCAAACACCAGCCACCATAACTCCTCCATTACTCAAACACCAGCCACCATAACTCCTTCATTACTCAAACACCAGCCACCATAACTCCTCCATTACTCAAACAGCCGCCACAATCGGCTCTGGCAAACATTGCTACAGATTTATTTTTTGTATCAATAAGATGTATTATAATTTGCACTGACATCAGAATATATTCTGTTTATCAATGACCTGAAGCTTTTTCCGAATTTGTATTGCACCTAATTAAAATTTGTATTGCATATACTTCCCATAAGGTTGTAGGGCACCTACTTCCCATAAGACTGTAGTGCACTTCTTCACCTGTGGTACATAGCGATATACCTGTGACTAGTATCCAGGATTTTCCTACCCTCACAGCGCAGCCTCGGCTCGCACTTCCTTCTTGATTGGCTGCTTAAGCCAAGCTCTTGCTATTGACTGCCCGGTAGCCCACATAGCCAGTACAGCCTAGTTGATCTGGCAGTTAGTGGGAGATAGTGATCCAGTTTCCCCTTGAAGATTTCTACGTTTGTCCCGGCAATATTTCTGACATCTGGTGGTAGTAGGCTGAGTAGACATGTACCACAGGTATTGATAGTGTTCTTATTATGCCCACGGCGCCCGTTTTTTACTGGGTGTATTTTACACCTGCCATATCTCTCACTGCAATAGGTTATGGTAGTGTGCAGATTTAGTTGTATTCCATTTATTTTTACCAAGTGTGGCAGGAGGAAGACTGACCTGGCGTTTGTCTATCTCATTTTCGACTATGAAACCGTAAGTGAAAATTATTTACGACAGCAGCCTCCTAGTGTTATTTACCTGGGACTGTAGTATATCTGACATTGTGCTCGCTTATTATATTATACTTATTGAAATAACTCGCTGAAATCATTCGGGTTTCTTAAACGTATAAAAGATTATTTAAAATTATTAATTCAAATTTAAATTTTATTATTTGAATATTTGGGTTTGCCTTTATGCTCTTAGAAAAATTTCCATTCATTTTACTACCTTGATTTTACACTAATCTATGGATTGTATAATCTCATTTCTCATCTTCTTTTAGATTTCTTTTAATTAAAGGCGTTCCGGTTCTTTAAATGTTATCTCGTAAAAAATTTGTAATCCAGCTAAGCCAGCTTTTTCGTGTTTCATTTTAAATTTATCCTCTCCACATTTTTCTTATCGTATTTACTGTTGTTTCCACATCTTTTTTTTTCGCAGTTTGCCACTCTGAAGTTTGGTAGAGAATGAGACGGACAGATCGTGAATGTTGAAGAAAATGAGACAATGAAACTGAGAATGAGAGAGAGAGAGAGAGAGAGAGAGAGAGAGAGAGAGAGAGAGAGAGAGAGAGAGAGAGAGAGAGAAGAGGGGGCGAGGCTTGGAGAGGTTGGGTTAGGAGCGCTACAACGGTCAAGCTGGAGCTGCACTTACGATGGGTATGGTTCCTGGAACGACGGGGGTGCCCGGGCCGAGTCCCTGAATCTGAGTCATGATTGCGTTCTTGAGGGCCAGGTGGTTACGACCGTTGATGAGCAGCTGGTCCTTGAGATGTTGTGGTGGGTGGAAGTACTTGCAGGGCGGCTTCTCCCGGTTACATCGACCCTGCAACACAACAGCAACAATTACTATCATACAACAGCGCTAATACAGGCATCAATGGCAACACAGCATTTACAATCACATCAGTGCTAATACACTCATCAACAGCAACATAATAACAATCACAACAGCAACAATTACTATCACACAACATCAGTGCTAACACACGCATCAGTGGCAACACAGCACTTACATTCACACGTATCAATGGTACTAAAACACTTCTTACATCAAAGGCAGCCCAACACTTACCATCACATAAAATTGCAAGGTTTGCAACAAGTCTGGTCCCAGATCTAGGATATATGAGCCATGTGGAGAGACCAAAGAAGTTAAACCTGAAGACAGAGGACAGGACCAGGGGTGACATGATTATGACGTATAAAATACTGTGAGGATGAACAGGGTGGATAAGGTAAGTCTGTTCGAGAGACGGGTCTCAGGCACCCGAGGTCACAGCTGAAAACTAAAAACCACTGACGAGTTATAGGAATGTTACGAAATGTTTCTTGAGCCTCTATAATTGTCAAGAATTGGGAGGATTTAGACCAAGAAGTGGTACAAGCGGGATCCAAACAGAATTTTAAGAGGTGTGATGGGGCTCACGCAGACAGGGAAGGGGGAACCCAGTAGGGCCAACGGAGCCAAGAGCTGAGATTCGACCCATATAACGCAAATATATACCATCACACACGTTAATAACATTAACAGCATCACACACACATCACTAGCAACATAATACTGTTAGCATCACACACAATAACAACACTCATAGAACCTCACACAATGGCAATACAATATCCCAACACCTTAGTAAACAAACATTGAAGAACTGAGGAAGGCCCAACACATACATAATGGTTTGAAAAATGGAATACACATACTCAGTACTTGAATATTAAAGATTATTAGTATCACACACCAAGAATTGTCCAGACTGAACAAAAAAGCAGAGGTTTATGATTACTTTTGTGTTTGATGGAAGGACGAAGAACACTCCCGCATCTTTATACTGAAAATTATATAAAATACCAACATTTTGATGAGACACATGTGCAGCAGTTGCTTATCTTTATTAATGAAACGTTTCGCCTACACGATAGGCTTCTTCAAATACAGTCATCTTTACTTCGCTATTACACCTGCTGCCTTTGTATTTGACTGAAGAAGCCTACCGTGTAGGCGAAACGTTTCAATAATAAAGATGCCAACTGTTGCACATGTGTCTTACTCATCACCTGTATACTTACCAAGTGTACTTATCGCACCCTAAGAAGTAATTCAAGTGCGCAAATTTGGAAAGAATTCCTGTAGCATCTTTCACATGTAAATTATCATACATCTCGCCCTCGCTCTAGGTAGAACAATTTCAGGGATTGTAGACGTTCGTAGTAGTTAATATGTTTGAATTTATACTCGCAGTGAAATGTCTCTACATTCTTCCGATCAGCAATTTCGACTGTCTTAAAAAGAGCCGTGAATGTGCAAAAGATATTTGGTTTACATACGAGGAAACAACGGACTGAAGCAGCTCAGTTTCGGACATTCAAAGCCTTTCAGTCATGTTAAGGAGCCACTTGAAGGTCTTCCTTACTGGAGAAAATACATAAATTATACGATTATCGTCTTTATAAGGTAATGAGGTCACTGATTTATGAAGATATAAGCAGCAAGAGCCAAGATTATGATGTCGCAGAAGACAATCATGGCGTTATTACCATGAATACTATCCTTACCTTTTCTTGCTCCAAACTGTTTTCTGGCGCCAGTCAGTGAATGTAACCTGCACACAAGATAGGTTACAGAAACCTACAAAACGTATATTTAACTACAAATGCGCAAATTAAAAAAAAAAAAGAAGAGGGATGACTGTCGTGGGTGCAGGTAAACAGTGACGCAGACACAGGAGGGGGTGGGGACCTAGGGGCTGGGGACCTAGGGGGTGGGGACCTAGGGGCTGGGGACCTAGGGGGTGGGGACCTAGGGGGTGGGGACCTAGGGGGTGGGGACCTAGGGGGTGTCGACCTCGGGGGTGGGGACCTAGGGGGTGGGGACCTAGGGGGTGGGGACCTCGGGGGTGGGGGACCCAAGAATTTATTTTCTGTATTATATTGACCAGTGACCACAAAAGCAAGGTAGTTCAAGAAATTTCACAAACTGACGATTTTTTAGACTTTTTTTTTCAGCATCTTATCACTGTAGGCCTAGCCTCACCCTACCCCCCCCGAACGAAATCCTGGCTTATGCCCCATAATGAAATCCTGGCTTATGCCCCAGAATGAAATCCTGGCTTATGCCCCAGAATGAAATCCTGGCTTAGGCCCCCAAGAAAGAAATCCCGACTGCGCTACTACAGTTACAGAACCTGTAGCAACATGTATGGTCCAAGACTCTTCAACATACTAACAGCAATATCAGAAATACTGCCAGAACGAAGACACAAGTTTTCAGTAGAGTGGACACCTTTCTTTTACAAGTGCTTAATTAGCCTGGTTGTGATGGTTTTGTAGGCCTTCCACCTACCAACACAAACAACCTGATATGGTTGTCAAATGGAAGCCTGGCCTCAGGTCGGGCTGAGGGGGTTGAACAGCCTTCGAAACCGGTCCCAGGTACGTCGGGCAGCACGGTATCTCGGTGAACCAAGGTAGTGTTAAAATCAGCACGTATTCCTTGGGTGGTATGACAACCTCTTTCAATTAGTGTGTTCAATTTCTTCAGGATTACAGTTTGTTGATTTTGCCCAATTTAACCTCCTCCCAAAATTTATATCGAGTCAAATAAATAAGTGTAAATGGACCAAGACTTTTCAACACCCTCCCTTCATCTATAAGGAAAATTACCAGATTACTCCAGTTAGTTCCAAAGAAGCCAGCGTGATTCGGAACTAGTAACTTAATTGATCAGGCTATTATCCAGGAATCGTCTTCAGGTAACGTTCAGGTAGGTAGTCTGTGGTAACATTAATGAACCCATATACTTATACGCACAAGCGCAATGCAACATACGCAGGCCTGCACCTGCGCAAGGCAACGAACTTGCAAGTACGCAGCCCAGCACACAGACGCACGGCCAGCGTCCAGTCCCTCATCTGTCATAAGCCAACAACTTTAATAATTACATTAAAAATTAATATCCGCGCACTTTAAAACACTAATAATTAGTATGTTCCATGTAGATTTTAGGACAACCCAACTGAGAGTGCCTCAGCAGCTCTGGCTCAGAGTGCTGAGTGCCTCAGCGGCTTTAACATGGGCCAAACTAATTAAGTTATCGTCATGAAATTTCACGGATGGATCACAGCTGATGTGAGAGCACTCACCATTCTCCGCAATAACTATAAACCTGATTATCTCATCACCAACAAATCTGCTACACAGATTACAGCTTTCACAGCCAACTTCCCATCAGACTCACTTGTCAAGTATTCCCATAATACACTTAAATGTGCTAATAACACTTTAAATTGTGTAAAAGCTTTCAAACTATTTATGTAACTGTGCTTGGTTAAAGTTGCACTTTTCACTGAAAGAATTATAACCAGTTTATTTGGTGATGCTGCAGCGGAGCTGGGTTCAATGATAAGTCTTCGGAGGCTTCTTACTTTATTTGCAAAGTCGTGGTGGTATACAGGCTTGTGTGTTACGTGCCCATGGCCCGGGAGGGCCATGCCCACGAGGGAGAGAGGGAGTAGGTCGCTGAGAAAGAGAGCGAATGGGACCAGCGTCCCACTGACCTGGGCAGGCCTAGAGAGGGCAGCACCTGAGTGCCGCGAAATATGAACTAAGCTGGCAGATCCCCCACAGTACAGGCTGTCTACAGAATCTGTCTCGTTGATAACGTTTTAGTTGCCATCTATCCATAATTTATCAAGAAATACTTAAGAAAAATTACATGCATACTTTTTACCCCCACTTCGCCATTTTCTTTTAATTCCATTAGAAAAAAATATTAAAACTCTGGAACAAAATTGGTTTGATGCTCAGAAAACTTGCATGGTGGTGGTTACTGTGTAACGCCCCGTGAAGGTGACATGTTCACGAAACCTGAGTGAACATCTGACTCAAAGGTGTTTGATCAGGATGAGGCGACACAAGTGGAAAGTGCTCGAACTAGATCTAAGTGTAAATTATTTCAACGTTAAGGTAGAGAGTGAGAGGAAAGCACTAAGTAGACAGTGGAGTAAAATTTATAAATACTCTCCAATATAAACACGACAAAATATATAACCCCCTGACACTGGATCACCTTACTGAGGTGCCATGGATATTGACACACGAGTGCCTGACCAACACATTTCTCGACCTAAATAGCGGATATTCCCCTTTCGTCAAAATTTGCTTATACAGTTTTTAATGTGTACTTAGAATTGTTACTCTTATGCCGTAACTATATCTGCAATATGACAGGCAGTTATTAGTAACGATAACACTAGATAGATGTTATAGTAGCAACTTGTTAAGACTAGTGAAGGATAAGTAATGATGGCAATTAAATGTTACTAAGTTTTGTTAATTATTAAGAAAACTAAATGACCAAACAGTTCTAGTGGTTTATAAATCACATAACTACAAGATATTTGTGCTTAAGGTTGCTTCACACCAGTCTACTAATAACAGGCGGGGCCCAGGAACTAGAGCTTGATCACAGTTAGGAGACTCCAGACTCTAGATCCCCCACACAACCCAACACTCAGGCCAACACACACACACACACACACACACACACACACACACACACACACACACACACACACACACACACACACACACACACACACACACAACCAAATAACTGCTGCAGCATATGGGCGCCTAGCAAACCTCAGAACAGCATTCCGACATCTTAATAAGGAATCATTCAGGACCCTGTACACCGTGTACGTTAGGCCCATATTGGAGTATGCGGCACCAGTTTGGAACCCACACCTAGCCAAGCACGTGAAGAAACTAGAGAAAGTGCAAAGGTTTGCAACAAGACTAGTCCCAGAGCTAAGAGGTATGTCCTACGAGGAGAGGTTAAGGGAAATCAACCTGACGACACTGGAG